AATTGGATGATAGGGGCTCATTGAGAGGTCCAGCAGCTTCCACCTCTCACTTTAAAGTTAATTGCTATGGCAAAGATTGTGATGTCATTAGAATGATGATGTCAAGGACCAAGAAGCAGATGAATTCCTCACCATCCAAGCTGCTATTTGCACGTACTTGCCCCTCTAAATAAAACACAGGATTACTTCCAAATGTGTTATTTAGAAAACCTTCCATGTGCTCTTCACACATGCAGCACCACAAGCAGAGAATTGGGGCCAGGATGTAGACAGTGGTTGGCCACTCCGCTCTTCTGATGCAATGGAACTCTTTCCAACGAGCTTAAACTCATCTACTGCAGAAGACAGAGCGGTCTTGCAGACCGCTGGGGAATTAACTCTTCCACCAACCAAGGACCATGCCAAACATCACCATCTTCTGCCCCAAGTGCAAGGTGTATTTCTTTGACCTTGCCTTCTGTAACAAATCTATAGCGAAGTGGCATGTATTTAATATATAATTAAAAACAAACACACCCAAACCCCACTTCACTGCATGCACTTCTGCCCCTGCTGAGATGAGGAAAGAACAGACACATGACAAACATCAGTCACTTTGTGCATGACTGGAATGTGCTTAAAAGAGCCTCAAAAGGTATTTAGGCACCTAATTCCCATTGATTTTAAGGGGAGTTGGGCACTTAAAGACCTTTGAGGATCGGGCCTCCAACTACCTTAAGGAGCAGGCTCTCTGACAATATATAGAAGAGTGTACAGAAGGAACTTTGTCATTGGCATGGATGATCACACCTGTTAAACTTTACCAGTCATGAAAAGCTAGATTTTAAAATCTGTAAATGCAGTCAGTGGCAGCCACATTTCATTGTAGTTAAAGCCCAAGTTCACAAACAGCAGCCACCTGTTTTGAGTATAATAATAATAATGTTTCCATTTCACTTTCCTGGCTGTCCTGCCAACTGTCTTTTAAGAGGTAAATGATACAAAGATAAACACTGAGTTTAGCCTGAGACAGTTACAGCAGCCAACACATTATTAAAACGAACCCACCTCCTTGCTGTGTGTTGGTATAGCACGTAAGAGCCTGGGGCCTTTGTTCGTGGCTTGGCCGCCACCGCGCACACACACACACTGTGTGTGTGTGTGTTCATTCCTACTGGGCTGTGTGAACTGACAGGTTGAGATCCAACCATTTGAGAATAAAAGCAAGCATGCTACTCCTGACACCGGGAGTACATTCACATCCCATTTCGATACAAAAATTAGAGCAAGGTCATTAGTGTCATGCACAGAGTCTGAAGCTTTGTGTGTGGTTTATGCATCTTCACATCCAGTTATGTTTTAGTTGTATGGTATTTGAGGCACTTCGATACAGGCAGAGCTTTTCAGGCATCTGGCACCACTGCCTGGCTGAGCTGGTCAGGGAATTTACCCCCGCTTCATTGACTGATTCAGGCACTCCCCAGCATTGTGATGTCATCACATGCAGCAGTCAGGCTCTGACTCACCCTAGAGGCATCACAGAAGGGGGGCTGAGCAAGAGAAGGAGGGGGCTGAGACACCGGAAGCATTAACTTTGCAGAGACAGTTACAGCAAGCTGCTATTTGAGAGTTCACACAACTGTGGAGGTCCATTTCAGTTTAAGAATAGGCCAGGCATTGTTGAAGATGTCTATTAAACGGTTACCAATAATTCAGACTTAATTGACAAAACTATGAAAGTGTATTGGCTGGAAACATTACTGTCTGGAAATGTTGCACTTACCTGAGTTAGAAGTGATACTTAAGCTTACTGTATGTTAAGGAACTTGATGGAAAATATTTTTATTGTTTGACTGTATTTGACAGCTTTCCATAGTCAGCTTCACCCTTACTGAAAAGGGTCTTTGACACTATCCCTTTAAAAGTGAACATATGTAATAGTAAGGTTAAGACAATATCCAGCACAGGCTCAAAACTAAACAGTTTCAAACTGGGCTTTGAAAACGTCTCAGTGAACAACAGCTGAGATCCAACCCTCCAGAGATAAGTTTGAGCATGTTATTCCCAACATTTACTGTATGTTCACAGTCCATTTCAATATGAGCATTAGACAAATCTGTAGTATTATGCAGAGTGTGAGGCCCAACGGGTTTGGTGCATTTTCACATCACAATATAAATACAGATGTTTTAACTGAAAGATATTCCACGCGGTCCTTTCTCCTATGTAGATCATAGACCTAGACAGGATGATGCAGTAACTTTTAGGGTTCTGATAGTACTGCAAACAGCAAGAGAAAAGGTTAATATGTTTTGTCTTACAGTAGAGGACTATGATATAATTATAGCCTCGGATTAACTCTTTTGATGTATGCATTAATGAAAGCAGGTTGAAATAATAAACCACAGCAACAAAATTTTAAACACGCTCCTCTACAGCTTCCCTCTTCCAGGCCTGCTACCATGTATATAGCAGATTGTAACATTCACTATTACCTGCAAATGAAATGGCACTCTGCATCTGGCAGTTGAGGCAAGCTGAAACATTTACTTCTTCAGTGAATAGCATTTTTGTTCAAATGTTTCCTTGTTGCCCAGTATAGTTTGCACAGAAATAAGCTCCCATGTATTCCAATATAATCTTTAGCCTTATCTCTGGATACATTAGAGTCAGAGTGTGCATACAATGTAATTTAAACCACACCTAAAATCAAAGCTCCCTCACCATACTTAATACTCAGTCTCACGTGTAGTATCAATTACAAAGAAAAAGGGCACTATTAGAATAAATTCTTAAGATATCAGGGGTCAAAGTGAAAGACTGGTAACAAACTTAACACTACCACTATTAAAAACTGAGGGGGAAAGGATAGTAAAGGGCCCACTATTACTCCAACATTGAGCTACTTTTTCTTTTCAAGTCTTCAGTTAAACTTTGTTGTTTTGTTTTAGTTTTACAATTGCTACCTAGTTGAACTGAAAAAAGTTTAGCCCAATCTTTCAGAAACAAAAAAATACTGGGAAGCTGAATGTTAACTGGCCCCTTTCTGCTTAAACCAAAGACTAATTTCAAATATGTTGGTGTTTATTATGTTAAGAAATTGGATGAAAGTAAGTGGGTGACATTTGCTTGCAAGTTGATTTTTGCTCACTTGTTTTTGTAACACAAGAGGCTAATTTAACTTTTCCCAGAGAACTATTAAAAACCAGTAAACATATGCAACAAGTATATTGTAGATATTTATTCAGAACATGCTGATTCTACAGTTCCATCAGCAATAGCAGGCATTCAAGTCGGTTCAACCCAGAGGAAGACAAGTTGTTAAATTAACACAGTTAACAACAAAGCTAATTTCAAGACAGCTGTTCATTTGTCACTTTACTCTTCCCCACTCACAAATAATAAAGTCTGTCTGGCTCTAGTTTGCTACATAACCCCCATTTGGAATGTCAAGTGTTTGGTGCGCTGCAGTTAGCAGATAGATATAATGCAGCTTAACATGCCTGGAAGCCATAGGACAGACCTAGTCCAATAAGGCCTATCAGGGAATCCTCAGCTTTCCTCATTCTCCAAAATAACCTCATTTCCTCTGGCCTGAAAGGATGGTTTGAGATGGAGCCAGGATTTTATGCTGAGTGGGGAAATGGAAGAACAGTTACCCTGGCAGTACAGAGACAAAACAAAGCTTTTGAAGAGGTAACTAAAGCATATTTCTCAGCTGTGAAGTCACACATTTTAAACTCTATATTGGTTCTTCCCATTCAGTCACTGCATCATTCTTTAGAAATTCTGAATACAGGAAACATGCTGAGAATTGGTTAATGTGTCTAAGAATTTTTTTTCCCCCCCAATTCCATCCATTGATTTTGCCCAGTATTTTAAGGTCTATGTCACACCTTTGTGTCTTGATGGTTTGAAAGCTAAGAAGCTCGGTCCATGTATTTTACATTCTGTTGACTTAGGCATTTATACTAAGCTCATCACGATGTTCTCATTAGTACTGCAGTGATTTATTTGTTTAATGTTTATTTGGAAAAAAAGATAAGCTGTGCTCAAACATTTTAATCTTATGCCAGCTAACAGCAACTGAGCCATTCATCTACATTTGGCTTCAAGGAGGTTTTTCTCAGAATCAAAACCTAGATGTCAGCCTTCGGGTTTGCCTACATAGGGAAACTGACCTGCATAGCTACAGCAGGACAGCTATTCCACTAGCAGCTAGATATTTATTATTATAATGATGCTGATCAATTTCCCCATGTAGACAAGCTCTCAGTTCCAGCTTTAATCTAGGTCATAAAAACACAATACATGCACTGTTCACAACAAGCAGTAGCTACCCCAAGGCCTTTTCTTTTCCATGTGCAGCAGACCAAGCGTTGCTAAAGCCACCAACCTTACAAAATGCTCTGTAACATACACTACAAGTCTATTTGCTAGTATACCACAATTAATGTTGTCCCTTTCACTTCCTGGCAATAAGTTCTAAGTTCTGGAGTTGTCCAATACATTTTCCATGAATGGAACCAACCATCAATATAGCATTTGCTTTATTCTTTAACCTATACTTTGCTTTGAAAGCAAGTATTTCAACACTTCCAAAGAGCTTTTTTCCACCCAGTTCTGAACCACGAATTTTTATTCTGTCAGGTTTAGCAGCATGAATTATTTGGAAGAGACCTGCCAATTAGAATAAAATACCGTAATTTAATCTAAATCCCCCTTGCTAGCGTTCTGTTTTAGTTCTGGTCTTATTCAACAGGGTGAATTTGAAATTGAATTATTCTTCACTCCTAAATCCCTGCAGAACGATAGCTCAGTACACACACTGCAGTAGATATAGGCTACCTAAAATACCAAAAAGATGCAGCGAATTTCTAGGCTAAACTCTGTTGTTGTTTTTTTTCAATCCAACAGGAAAGAGAAAAGCTTGAGAGGGTGGCCTATTACAAGTCCATGGTCCCCCATGTTATGAAATCAAGTGCTCAATCTACCCATCACAGCACAACAGAACTTTCCCCCTTTTCTCCTATAGACTTCTGCAAGGAGAATCCAGCCTCTAAGTAAGAACTGGAATTTTTTTATTAAATCAAAGGGCATTGCAGACTCTCTCACTGAACGTGGACCACATGACTGCAAAACTGGACACATCTCACGTGTTTAGCAGCTAAAGGCACCATTTATGAGACAATTCTTTTCAGCTAAGCAGAAGCCTTCTGCATTTTGTGCTTAGCAAACCACTCGTCACTTTTGTCCGCTGCCATTGCCTGTACAAATAGAAGTGAACAATTTGTATAATGATAAAGTTATTAAAACAACAGCCATTTACAGAAGCAAACGTGTCCAGGATTCTATTTGGGTTAGTGCCAAGCAAACAACTGGATGACTGACTTATTCACCAACAGGGACCAACTCTTAAGTTGATCTGTGATTACCTGAAGCAAACAGTTCTACCACACTGTAAATGAAAAACAATGCTCTTTGAGAATCACTTCCGGACTGCAGTATAACAAAAGCAACAGACACTCCCTGCAACAATACAAGCGAGTTTCAGAAGCAAGTTAAAAATGGTACGGTGAGCGACTGTCACTGCTGCACCAGATAAATGTATCCGACGAAGTGATTTGGTAAGACACAGGCATGACAGGATCAGTGTCTCCTGCTCTGAAATGTCCCTTTTGTTTTCAGACTTTTCCTGAAACCGCTTGTCATTTCTGTAGCAGCAGCCCATTATCTTGTGAAGCTGTTCTACTGCACTGACCTGATTGTCGTTACAACCAACAAGCCAGTTTCCACTCTTACTTAGGTTGATTTGTAGCTGATGCTTTGCACCTCTAGCATCTTCCATCCTGCAGCCACCTCTGAACTGAGGGGTAGCTCACAAGAACAGGGAAGGAAAATTCTTTCCAGGATACCGAGGCAAACCCCAAAAGCTATTTGGGATTTTTAACATCTGAAGAACGGCATGAAGCACCCCCTTTAGAACTCAGTGTACCTGCCGCTGAAGGTCTGGGCTGTGGTGGGATTTTAAAACATACAGGTAGTCTATGCATTTCTATCCTGATGCTCCGACCTCTCCACCAACAAACAATACAGAGAATATATTACTTACATCATCTAACAGCTTGTTGCCATTAGGATCCATCTTGGAAAGCTCTCTAAATGCTTCATCTCCTACAAAGCAGATTTCATGGCCGTCCTAAACCAGATTTAACAGGAGAGAAAGTGAAATTACCGGGGGGAAGGGGGGCTGAATTAAAGTTTATTTTGTCACTATTTCAAACATCACTCACGGGATCAGCCAGGATAACCACTTGCACTGTTGCTTTTCCAGGGGTGTCCAAGCTAACTAGGGGAGTTAAAATCTTCTGCTTCTCCTTCTTCATCAGTGCTTCAATGTTCGGCAACTTAAAAAACAAAGAGTGAGCTGAAGGTCAGTTGTGTCATATCAGGCTGTGATCATTTACTGTACCCATTACCCACATCTCCATCACATTCCCACCAAGAGAAAGTTAAACAGAACTTTCATTTGATGTTATTATCTTGTTCACGTACTGACGGTGAGAGACCTTCAAGTGGCTATTGGTATTACCATGAGTCACCCTCCACATGGCCAGCCCCGGAAATATAGGAAAGGGCCGGAGGAAGAAGGAAATCAGATTGTTACCTCTTCCTTTGGGCAAGAGAAGGCAATCCGCCCAAAAGCTGTGCCATGATCCACTGCTCCGCCAATGCCCTGCAGCTCCAATTTACACTGAAAGAGAGGGATTGAAACAGTCTAGCTTGCAGGGAAACTAATCTGAAGACAAAAAAAATTCATACAATTTTTACTGCATTTTTGCATGCATGCTAATCAGCATTACATAATAAGCTAATCACGTCAAAGCCACATATGCTTATTTCCCAGTGTATTAAGGTAGTAGTGACCACGGTCACCTTATTTGAAACAGAGGCTGCAAGCAGATACAAAAACAAAAGCACAATGATTCACCCTGAGTATTTGACAAATTTAGTCTGACTGCAAATTACTGAATGGATAATCTCATGTTCATGTTAACCTCTCTGTAGAAAGAACAGGAGTACTTGTGGCACCTTAGAGACTAACAAATTTATTAGAGCATAAGCTTTCGTGGGCTACAGCCCACTTCTTGGGATGCAGCTTAGGTAACTGATTTCCCTTTTCACTCAAAATTACTGTATTTCATGGTATCTTAACCTTTGTGCCTCTTTCCTGAGCAGCTGCAGCTGGGTTCTCATTTTTATATGGCTATTTGCTTGCTTTCAAGAAAGCCCTACAAATGAAATGAAGCCTGGGCATTATTATGCCTGTACTTTAAGTCTTTTAGTTCAAAAGTTAAGAGCAGAACTACTAACCAATTTGACAATTCCGCCTTTTTACGTGTATGTTCTTAGCAGGGAGGCAGGATGGCAGACACATTGACAAAGCAAGCATTTAGAAGATTAGAGAAACAGCGGTTCTCAGTAAGATTGCTTGATTTATTTATTTAAGGTTCGGTCATTATGAAATGAACCAATCCCACAACATGCGATTCTCAAAGAATAGTCACTTCTCTAAATGACTAACCTGGTTATCTGCATAGCCTAGCAAAGCCCTTTGCTTTTCCTCATTCGTCTCATAAATTTTCATTCCCAGCAGATCAGACCAGTAGCTAACAGACTTCTGCAGGTTCGAGACTGCCAAAGTTACTTTTAGCACGGGATCTACAAGATTGTAATAGTTTCCTATTAGTGGTGTGTATGTTGTAGTTTTAAACTCTAGGTTTTTGTGCTCATGATAATGGGAAACAAATAGCAACAACATGAGGCAGCCACACATTCCCATAAATCTTGGCCAAGCCAGATGTGCAACCTCTTGTGAAGTTCCAGCTCTCAGTCTCCGATGAAGAGAGGAAAGGGTATGAATGCGTTACCTTGCTTTGGTTGTTCTTGGTCTTCCAAGTAGAACTTGTATCCTCCTGGGGCTTCAGTTTCAAATATACCCTTTGCAACTTCTTTGAGTGGCCATCCCATCTTCCTGGCATTGCTCACTGCCTGGCTGGACAGAAGAGTCATGCCCTAGCAAGAATACAAAGCACAAACATGCGATACACCAGTGCAAAGATGTACCAACACCATCTTTTTGGTCCGTGGTACTGAAGTCAGCCGATAGATTTCCAAGTATCAGCATGGAATCCTAATCTTCATCCATTGCCAGGAAGAGAGCAATCATCAATGTAGTCTCTGCTCTATACCCCGGGCTAAAACACCTACTCTTCTGAAGGAGACCTCAACAGCCCAGATACTGGTTCCTTGCCCCCGGCTTTTCAATTATCTTCCTCCAAGAGAAAGCTGAGAGAAAGGGCAATAATCACACAAGTGGTCTGCAGTAAGAGTTGGAGCCATCCTGAACAAGGGTCTAAACGGCCTCCGAGAGGCTGGTTATCTTGCCTTTATAAAATTAGTGCAACTGTCTGAGGTCAATACACCTCTTACACAACAGAGAAATATGAAGCAGAGAGATAGAGCTTAATGGGCCAGATCCTGGCTCTACCAGTCTTTGCAGAGCCACTAGAACAGCACTGACCAATTGGGTTTTGCAGAGACAGAGGCCAAATCAAATCCAGAGTTCTGCCACCTTACAGATGAGTGGCTTCCATGGCCATCCAATCATCTCTGACTCCATGGGGGGAAGAGGAGGATACCAGTGAAACAAGGAGCACACACAGTACCTCCACTGGGAGGAGATAGTGAGTTCCTCCTTGGCTGGAAGTCCGGGGAAATAAAAGCGATGCTGCATTCACAAGACTGATCTGTCAGAAAGCTCCAAATTTTGCTGTCAGTGGGCTGGGGAGTGAGGCCCCCCCCGAGAACAAATACAACTGCCCCCCAGCCCCCCCAACTGCAGCATGAGCACAAAGCACCTCTCTCCCCTTCCTCTTCCTTGCACAAAAGACGTGCAAACAGCACCCACAAGACTAGCTCAGGGAACAAAAATGGATAGGGAATCAAACAGCATCAGGAAAGTGCATCCAGGACATAGTCTGAATGGACTCCTAGCCAAAAAGCTCACAACAAGAACAAAAGAACGTTAGAAGGGCAAGTGATATTTACCAGAAAGTCACTGCCAAGTCGATACTCTCCAACTCCATAATTGTAGGTCAACTCTGCAACAAAGTGATCATCTTCGGGCCCATAGCCCACCATTGTTTTGCTCCACTTTCCATCATAAGGGCTAGAACAACCATCACATTTATTTGTCGTCAGTATCAGACACAAACACACACACCCCACCACACGCACGCGCACACACACACACACAAGTAAGAAGTGTCTCAGGATAGGAACTGCATAACCAGTGGTCCAGCTAATCCAATATCCTACCCCTGACAGCAATCAGTGCCAGATGCTTCAGGGGAAGGTGCAGAAACCCATACCATACCAACTTTTATACAATACTATATCACTGAAAGAGCATGCCAGTCGGTGCCTACTTCATGTCCTCAACCATGAAAGGATCCTTATAGTTTTATCCTCTCCTATCTAGTTTCTTATGTAACAGCAGATGCAGCTCTCCTATAAATAGTCTAATCTTGTTTTGAAATTTACTAAACTATTTGCTTGCAGCAGCAAGTTCCGCTGGTTACTTATTCACCACATAAAAGTCATTTAAAAAAAAAAAAAAAAGACTTCCGGCTAACCGGAGGAGAAGGCACTATGACTAAGGGATTCCCATAAAGTGTGATAGAACACAGTAACTTTCCAGTAAATTCTTAATTTAATAAATTCCAAGGCCAGAAGGGGCCATTGTGATCATCTAGTCTGACCTTCTGTAAACCACAGGCCAGAGAACTGCCCCAAAATGATTTGTAGATTACAGCTTCTAGTAAAACATCCAATCTTGATTCCTCTTGTGGAGAATCCACCACAACCCTTGGTAAATTGCTCCCGTGGTTAATTACCCTACTGTTAAAATTGTAGGCCTCATTTCAAGTCTGAATTTGTTTAACTTCAACTTCCAGCCACTGGATCTTGTTATACCTTTCTCGTTTAGTCTGAAGAGCCCTCTGTTATCAAATACTTGATTCCCATGTAGGTACTTATACACGATAATCAAGTCACCCCTTTACCTTTCCTGCTACGCTATGTGAATGTGTGACTAGGAAGGCACAACTGCACAGCCATCCCAAAGAATGAGCAATGGTAGTTTTCATATGATTTGATCCAGAATTCCTCAAGCCTAGGAACTGCAACTATAGTGATAGAACTAGGATAAAATTAAGTGCCCCCAAGCTTCATGTTTCAGAGCATAAGCTGCTCACCAAGTGGAGTCAAAAAAGCTATTTCGTCATCATGATCTAGGCAAATTGTACAGTTAGACAATATAGCTTAAGCTCTTTCTTTTTGAAAAGAGATGAAAGGCCACTGGCGGTAGCGGGGTATTTTATTTTAATGGATTTATTTGGATTTAAGAGAATACGATGCCTACCCAAGGCACGAGGCGCCCTAATAGCATTAAACACAATAAAATAAAATCCCAGAAGCATGAAGTAGTCATTTCTTTCAGGAACTGTGGCCCAAATCAAAGGGATTTAGGCCCCTAACTGCCTTTGAAGATCTGGGCCGCCCTGACTACGTAGACGGTTGATCTGCCATAGCAATGCTTATGTTCCAACGTCAGCACCACAGACAAACACAAGAAGGTACATTCTTACTTTCTTCAAACGAAATGAGCAATGTTTAGGAAGTATGCTCAAAGGTCTGTAAGTAAGCCTTTTGGGTTAGTCAGCATCTGCAGAGGTTTTAGTTTAGCTAAAGATGACAAAGAGAAAGAAGGGTACATACCCATTACAAGTAGCTTTGCAGCCTTCCTCAAATTCTTCATGTCTTAGAATCTGGCAGATCGAGCACATGCAACAAATAAAGCCTACTTAGTTCTTAGAAGGAAATAGACCCAAGCACACCCCAATAGAACGCGTAGGGTACATCTGTCCTGTGACAAAAAACCCACGGCTCCAAGTCAGCTAACTCAGGTTTGTGGGGCTAAGAGTAGCAGTGTACAGGTTCAGATTCAGGCTGAGCCTGGGCTCTGGGACACCACAAAGCGATAGCGTCCCAGAGCTTGAGCTGCAGCTCCAGCATCTACAATTAAACACCCCGATAGCCCGAGTTTGAGTCAGCGGATACAGGCCAGACACAGGTGCTGAATTGCAGTGTAGACGTACCGTGAGGCAACCCTCTCACCTGGCAAGGTCTCAGAGCCCAGGCTCCAGCCTGAGCCCAAACATAAACATCTACAGTGCAATTGTATTGCCCCACAGCCTAACTCGGCTAACCCGGCCCAGCCGTGGCTGAGCAGTGGATCTTTTAGTACAGTGTAAACATACCCTGACCAGCGACTAGGGGACTTGCCATAAGGCCGCACGTACACAGCCCGGGGAACAGCACAGCTGTTTCGGTCTGGGGAGGGAGAGGTTAACAGGAACAATCGCACCACGACAAGCCCCAGCCTGGAAGCAGACACACTAGCACGAAGGGGCCATAAGCTGTAACACGGGGGGGGGGGGGGGGGGCGCCAACCCCCGGCGCCGGGCCAGACGCAGCCGGCTGAGGCCCCGCCCCCCGCTCGTTCACTCACCCTCATGCCCAGCAGGTCGCGGTAGAAGCGGGCGCTCTGGCCACGGTTCCCCACTTTGAACACGAAGTGCAGCGCGCGCCGGGCTCCCATGTCTGACTTCTGCCCCTACTTCCGGCGCATGTCGATGACGTAGACAGTCACCCCCCCGGCAGCTTAGGAAGCCGAAAGGGGGAGGAGTCACGTGCACAGCCGGATATCCGGCCGGCCGGGGCCACCTGGCGTCAGGGCAAGATGGCGGCGCTCAGGCGCCTCACGCTGGGTCCTGCCGCCGCCGCGCTGCTTCGGGCTCAGCCGGGAGGAGCCGGGGCGGGCGCGGCTGCGGGGCGGCGCTGGGTGCGGGCGCTGAGGCGGAGCCCGGTCCGCGTGCTGCCCCCGCGCGAAGAGCAGAGAGCGGCCGCCCCGGCCGGGCGGGAACCCGCGGAGCCGAAGGGAGCCCGGCTGCGGCCGGCCCCGGAGAAGAGCCCGGCCGGGCAGGGGCTGCGCTTCGAGAAGGCGGAGCCCGGAGACAGGAGGCTGGGGTAAGGCCCTGCGGCGCCCCCCCCCCCCCCCCCGCCCCCGCCTCCCCTTCTCCCCCCCCCCCCCAGGGCCCCCGGAGACCGTTACCATGGCAGCAAAACCACGTGTAAGCGGACAGCTCGCCCCCCGTTTCCCTGGGCTCCCTTCCCTAGTGACAGACGCATCACGAAGCACCCGGGCAGATTGCCGGTGCCCCAGCCCGCTGCCCCCACCCCCAGACTGCCGCCCTCTGGGGCCAGGCCACGGTACCTGCTGGCACATCGAGGAGCTCCGTGCTACTTTAGTTGTGGGCAGCGAGGTGGGCAGAATGTAACTGGCAATAAATCCGAAGCAGCCAGCCAGACTCCAGCACTGAAGGGTCCTGTTTTCTGGTTGTAGCTATTGTAAAGTATAACGGAGAATATCTTATTGCCCTTATATAAATCCATGGTACGCCCACATCTTGAATACTGTGTACAGATGTGGTCTCCTCATTTCAAAAAGATATACTGGCATTAGAAAAGGCTCAGAGAAGGGCAACTAAAATGATTCGGGGTTTCGAACGGGTCCTGTATGAGGAGAGATTAAAGATGCTAGGACTTTTCAGCTTGGAAAAGAGGAGACTAAAGGGGTGTATGATAGAGGTATATAAAATCATGAGTGGAGAAAGTGAATAAGGGAAAGTTATTTACTTGTTCCCATAATACAATAACTAGGGGCCACCCAATGAAATTGATGGGCAGCAGGTTTAACACAAATAAAAGGAAGTTCTTCTTTACACAGCGCACAGTCAACCTGTGGAACTCCTTGCCTGAAGAGGTTGTGAAGGCTAGGACTATAAAAGGGTTTAAAAGAGAACTAAATTCATGGAGGTTAAGTCCATTAATGGCTATTAGCCAGGATGGGTAAGGAATGGTGTCCCTAGCCTCTGTTTGTCAGAGGGTGGAGATGGATGGCAGGAGAGAGATAACTTACCTGTTAGGTTCATTTCCTCTGGGGCACCTGGCATTGGCCACTGTTGGCAGACAGGATACTGGTCTAGATGGACCTTTGGTCTGACCCAGTATGGCCATTCTTATGTTCTTCTTGTGCAAAAACTCATTGTAAAAATCAGTGTTTTTTTCATAGTCAATGCAATATTCAGACTTACATCATCAAGGCTAATAAGTAATCACAATTTTAACTATCTACTAAATCACAATAAGTCTCCAAGTTATTAGTGCACAAGTGAGGTTTTTACATTTGGCTTCAAGTAATGATTTCAATTGTGTTGCCACCAACTGTGGAGCATGCAAACTCCATGTTTGAGTGCATACATGAACCATGAAAGGAAAGCATGCTACCAGTTCCATCTTAGCTTCACTCTACCCCTGTTGCTTTTACTCTCTTTTCCTCTGCCTTGTCCCCCTCACCCTGCTTCCCTTCAGTTTTCTTTACTTTGGCTTAAAAAAAAAAAAAAAGTCATGGAACGAGCAGGATGTTTGCTGCCTTCACATTGTTCACTCTGCTCGTGTTAAATCCTTTCTTCTACCCAGTGTCTGTCTTGTCTGTTTAGACTGGAAGCTCTTTGGGGCAGGGACTGTTTATTTTGCTGTTTTTTTGCAGCTCCTAGCACAATGGGGCCTGGCCCTTCGGCACTGCCATAATAATCATGCTACATGAAATAATGGAAAGAGAGAAACTGGGGCCAGTGGCGAAATTCACTATGTCAGAGTAAGTCCTGACAGTAGAGGGAACAATTTTCAAAACCTCAGCTGTTATGGTAAGAGCTGAACAAAGCCTTAATATGCTACATATGTGAAATTCTTCTGTCAGCTCTTGGGAGAGGCACCAAGTTTCTGACTCTGGTGCTTGCCTGCCGGTGCATGAGCCTTCTTGCAAAACTCGCTTTTGCATTTTTCCACGTAACTATTAAGATTTCAGCTAAAGCACTTGCAAAGAATTTGCTAACACGGTACTCTGTGGTCAGTGTCTGTTCAGAGTCCCATTTCTGTGTCTGTTCGTAAATCCCTTAGAGTTCTCAATCCTTTTTTGAATTATGTCCTTTTTTTTTTTTTTTTTTTTATATTGGCAGTGGCCCCTCTCCCTTTAGAATAGCGAGGATACTGCCACCTACTGTTGCTAATGAGTTTGTTCAGGAGGTACCTGAAATTACTTACATCAAAATGCAAGTCAAATGGTATTATAAAAACACTCCTTACCTGTATTAGTGCTGCTACTGTCAGTCCTTGAGAAATTTGGGCTTGTTCGGTACTGAAAAGCAGATCAATGCAAGGCCCCCAAGAAGGCTCGCTGCGCAGCCAAGGCCCCCAAGAAAGTTTGGCTCCTGCACCCCCTTCTGGTTGAGAACCATTGCCTTATATTGATCCTGCTGTAGAGATTAATAAGGGTGAGAATAATGGATCCCATACAAGATCAGGACTAGCTGCAGCCACTCTAAAATATATATGCAGACAATCATTGGACAGAAGGAATAATATTGAGTCCAGGAAAGTTTCGAGTGACACCCCCCACTTGCAAGTGGCAAACTTCAAAGCAGACCAGAGATGTTACTTACATCCCAGCAGTTTTAACTGGTCATCTTCTCTGTAGAAAAGTGGTGACAATTGCCAAGTCGAAGAAGTTTCGCGACCAGCATGGGAAGATTCTGCTGGAGGGTCAGAGACTTATCAAGGATGCCCTGGATGCTGGAGCAGTGCCCCAGACTCTCTTCTTCAGTACCGTGGGGCACCTGAAGGAACTGCCTGAGGAAAAGCTGAAGAAAACCACTCTAGTTAAGGTGAAGTTTGAAGACATTAAGAACTGGTCTGACCTCATAACTCCTCAAGGGCTGATAGGTAAGTTTGCTTTAGAAAGTAAACAAAGGGTAGCTGCACTTAGCATTTATTAAAATAAATGTAGTGACAAATACGACTTGACTGTCTCTTTGCTAGCCTATTCCTGTTACTCTGCCAGTGACATGGTGTCACGTAGAATTGGCTAGAGAAAGGATTTCTCTGCTTCCACTCAAACTGATGTGAGAGACCATCTTGTCACCTGCCCCTCCACTTGAGGAGGGGACTACATTTCAATAGACCTCCTCAAAGCTTGGAAGATGATTGGCACTCTCATGGTGGCTCTGAGGCCTGTGTCTAACTGACATCCTTGATGGTGCCTGGTGATACAGGTATTCTGCTGTGGCCTGTGGAAAAATGGCACCTACAATCTCTGAGGTGATGATGCCCATGGGCGGGGAGGGGGGGGTGTTTTTTAAATGATGCTTTCAGTCTTTACTTTACTAGGAAAACAGTCTTACGCAGACTCCAGCAGTGTACTGCTCCTCACCCGATCTTCAGTACTTCCGGTTCCACCACAAAAGTATCAGTTAAATCAGAAGTGATTAAAACAGATGCATCCCACGGGCAGTGCTGTGTCAGAAAAGCCTTTGAGCCTCATTTGCCAATGGGCCTCTCTCCCTTTATTTCCTCAGGAATCTTTTCCAGACCTGACCATGCCAAGATGACTTACCCAGCTGTCCAGCAACGGAATTCACTGCCCCTGTCCCTTATCTGTGACAATCTCCGCGATCCAGGAAACCTGGGGACTATACTGAGATCTGCAGCTGGAGCAGGCTGCAGCAAAGTGCTGCTCACCAAAGGTAGGCCCCTCCTTCTGGAGAGCAGGAGTCTGTGATGACTTCAGCTGTGGGGTCGGGAGAGTTTAATGAAAAATCAACCGTTTGGAAAAGTGATGAGATTTCACTTGATATGGATGGAAATACACAACAGCTCACGGTGTGTTGGACCTTCTGTGGAATACTCCCGTGATACCTAGCAAGGCTAGGGGCCTAGAACAAAGGCAGGTTCATAAATACAGCGCCCCATCAATAACTGCATACTGAGGGAGCTAAGAGAGGTTAGCTTTCCAATTTGTGTGCTGCTACCGTCCCATAGGCCCTCCTGGCTGTTTCAGATGATGGCTTGCCCCAGGGAGCTTTTAAGCATTCTCCTTCGATGTGCTCTCTCACTGGCACAAGGTGCTGAATGCATATTCGTGTGGAGCCCTTGCACCTTCACTGTTTTCTATTACAGGCTGCGTGGATCCGTGGGAGCCCAAAGTGCTTCGTGCAGGCATGGGGGCTCACTTCCGCCTGCCCATCATTGCCAATCTGGAGTGGGAATCCATTTCCAACTATCTTCCCACAGACACAGAGATTTACGTGGCTGACAGCCGCGACCCAAGAACACAGGACAAGATGGAGGCCGGGTCGGGAAAGGCCAGGTCGGGAAAGGCCAGCAGCTATGGTTGGGTTTCCAGACCTCACAACTTGAAGGCTCCAATAGGCAGAGAGGACTTGGCTTTTGATTCAGAGAGCGAAGAGGAGGAGCAGGGAACAGATGAGGCCTGGTTCCCAGAACTTGACACTCAATATTACCACGAGAACTGGACACGGGCTCCAGCAGCAGCGGTGGTGATTGGTGGGGAGACCCATGGTTTGAGCACAGAAGCACTTCGGCTAGCAGAGAGCACGGGGGGGAAGAGACTGATTATTCCTGTGGTCCCAGGCGTGGACAGTTTGAACTCAGCCATGGCCGCGAGCATCCTGTTGTTTGAGGGGAAGAGAC